TTTTAATTTTAATTCGCTATTTAAAATCAGTGCTGAATATTACGCATACGCCCCGCTTAACCACACTTGAAGCGTTAATGAACAGCGAGAAAAAAAAGAGTGAAATTACAGCAGGAGCAGGAATGGTACAGCTATGAGTGCTCGACTAGGTTATACCCTGTAAGCAAAGGTATATACTTAATGCAAAAATCTAAGCCGTTAAAACTAGACTCAGTCATGAATGCACACTTGTTAAGCCACAATTACAGTAAAGAAGAAGTAAATACATATTAAGTGCTCGACTAGGTTATACCCTGTAATTAGATATAATGCATATTTAGTAGACAAATTAAACAGATGTTTCTAGAATCAGGTTTTCACAAACAAGGAATTTATCTAGTCATTAGTACAGGAAAGAAGGAGTGCATAGGTATTGAGTACTCGACTAGGGAATACCCTGTAAGCAGATATATACATATATGATATAGACACATCTAAGCAGATGTGGGTAGAATCATTGTTTGTATGCATCAAGTCATCATTACGGCAACTAGAGAGACTTCAGTTACACGTGCTAGACTAGAAAATACCCTGTAGATCCAGATTTATGCATATTATATAGTCATATATAAACAGTCAACTATAAACACTCCGATAATGAGTGATCGACTAGGCAATACCCTAGAGACACATGTGAACAGACTCAGCCGCATTTTGACACACCAAGAGTTGATCGGCTCTTAAATTTAATCGTTCTTAATTGTTTTGCTGCATCTAACTACCCTTCATTTTAAAGCTTTAGGGTATGCTGATTGTTAAAAAATGTTTTACCAACTTTGCAATTAAGTGCAACAGCAACAACAACAACTGGAACAACTGCAACAACTACGGCAAGGACCGCAACGAGAGCAACATGCAAATAATGCATTATGTAAACATCGAGATACATTTTACGAGTGGCTGCCGACACGGTTGTCGCGGGGCGGGGCGGGACAGGAAACAAAAGCGCCACGGCGTCATCCGCAGACATGTGTAAATATGTGTGTCACTTTTTGTGGCCTGGAAGGGGAAATGACGAGGTGGTGAGGGGATGGGGAGGGGGGAGGGGGAGACAACCACTGAGCGCCTTGTCAAGCGAATGGCTCAGCGCCAATTTCACCTGTCGTAAAAGGCGACTCGTGCCGCGTGCTGTTTTTTTGTGTTTCTGTGTTTTTGTGTTATTCTGTTGTCTTGCCACACAGCAGCAACACCCACACACACACACACACACACACCCACACACACACACACACACACATTCGCACTCGTTATTGTTTTATTTGCAGCTGTTTTGCTTTATGCCATCAGCTGCTGCTGTTGTTGTTGTTGTTATTTTTGCCGCTGTCTGTTTATTTTGCTATTTACAATATTTTTTTCGTTCTCAATCATTTTATTCAAGTTGTTTTTTTTATGGCGCTTTGCATTGCTTTCATTTAACTTACAGCATGCAACGAAATTCAATTCAACAACAATTATGTGTTAATTATGAACGCAATTTCGCGCGCTTTTACGAATAAAATTTACATCGAGCAAGTGGCAAGTGGCAAGTGGCAAGTGGCAGCGAAGCGAACAGCAAACAGCAATTTGTCAGCCAAGTTGAGGCAACAATATGACAAATGATGTGGGGAAATGTTTCAAGTTAAGTTCTATAAATAAGTTGAAACAAACAAGAACGAATATCTGCTGCAGATAGCAGGCCGAAGACTAAATACGCTTAAAAGCATGTGAAAGTGAAATTTTGTATAGCCGAAAGATTGTTCCAGTAAAGGAATATAATAAAGTAAGAATTATCATAGGGAAATAATTATATATAGTAGCCCCATTTGATACTTCTTTGTTTTGTGGGGAGAATATTTAAGCTGTTCTCAGCTGAGTTTGATCAAAATATCTTAAAGATTAGAAAAGTTTTCTATAAAATGTATTTTTGATAATTCGACCGATTTGTTTAGGACAAATTTTAAATCGAATGATTTGTCCTAAGCAGCTTTAAAGATATAGTAGTTCGATGTGGCTAAGATTTTGCTCATGTGAAATGTTAAAGCTGTTCACAGCGGAGTTTTTAAGATGAGAAAAGTTTTCCAGAACATTTATTTTTGATACTCGACTGAAGAGCTACATGATATAGAACTTCCATATTGTTAAGATTTTGTTCACGCGTAAATTAACTAATTAGTTTGATTAAGAAAACAATTCAGGATATCTTTAGCAAGCAGAAGATTTAATACCCTCATAGACTTTAGCCTAAGTGTTCTGCCGAAATGTGAGAAAAGCGAAGCTCGTAAATGCTGAGTTTAATGAAAATATCGTGGCAAACAGAATATATTGGTATACAAAAAATTATTTGTTCAACGATGCTTGCTATATAGATACACAATATAGTAGTGCGATCTGGATAAGTTTTAGCTCAATATAAAATAATATAAGCTCATTAAACTAATGACAGCAGAGTTCGTTGAAGATATCTATGCAAGTTTTCCATACATGAATCAATTGCTCCTACGATTTCATACAGGTTTTCCATACAAGAATTTAATATTCCACAAATCGTTCCTACTATTATTTTTCATATATTTTTCATACAAGAAGCTAATTTTCGACGGATCGTTCCTATGGCAGCTATATGATATGGTTGTCCAATTCGACCAATTCCGACATAAGAGCTGCCTGGAACAGAAATACGAATATATGCCAAGTTCTATTGGGATAGCTTCTCAGCTGGGCCAGTTCACATAGACAGTTAGAAGGTTAAATAGATATAACTTGGCTCTATCGACTTGGTTTACCCCGCATATGTATCCCCGTTGTGCTTCACAGACACGCCAAGGCAATTATAATGCCCTGTAGTGTTTGTTAGGGTATACAAATTCAGCTACTTGTGGGGCAAACTTATGACATATGAGTTCTTGTTGAATTCTTAACTTAATGAATATTAATTAATTCCTAATGAGCAGCATTTTTGGCAGACAATTCAAAGCTCCCACAATATATTTTCCTTTTCCACATTATACAACAAGCACAACAAATATGTGTGTGGGGGTAAAAACAACAAAAACGCTAGCGAACAGCACGCGTTTCGCGCGCGTCTTTAGGCCCCCTTCCCCACCTTGCGCAGGTGCCACTTACTTGCTTGGGGCCTAATTAAATTTGTGCTTTGCAATTAGGCAAAGGTGTGGCCAAAAGAACTTGAGCAAAGCGGAAAATGCATCAAACGGCAAAAAAGGGAGAGGAAAATTAAAATGAAAATGAAATTTGAACGAAATGCGCCACAAAATGCAATTAAAAGCTGACAAAACAAAAGCTATGCAAAAAGCGCAAAATTAAATGCAACAAATTGTTGCAATTGCTGCGGTTGCTGCCACTGCTGCTAGTCCTTTTCAATGTTGTTGTTGTTGCTGCTGTTGTTGCTGCTGCCGGTTTCAATTAGTCAGCCGCATTGGTCGAACGGGCAACTGGATAAACAATTGGTCGAACTGGTTCAGAAATCAACGCTGCCCCTTTAACAAAATTCTGTAAATATTTAACAAAACGAACAGAGCAACGCGTGCTGCTGCTGTTGTTGTTGTTGTTGTTGTTGCTGTTGTTGTTGTTGTTGTTATGGTGCCAATTGCTGTGGCTGCTGCTGGCAAAGCCCAAACACAACACAAACAATATTAGCCAGGGTCAGTGCGTATGCACGGGTATTTACCTTCACATCCATCTGTAACACAAAGGTAGCATGCACTGAGCGAAATGAATAGAACTGTTTGTCAATCATGATTGATTGACTGACAGACTGAGCAATGTGAAGACAAAAAAACAAGGCAGCTGAAGTTTTTGCAGTAGCTATAATTGAATTATATTTGAATAATATTTGAAGTGTTTCGCCCGAAAGCGTGGGAAATAACTTTAGGACATCACAGATGTCTCGACAACAAGAGGTTAATATAAAGCAAGAGAATTGTGTTTTTTTTTCAGGTATGCCCGACTAAGCGATACCCTGAAGCCAACGCTAAGCTGCCTTTACAAACATTATAGCTTTCTTCTATAAATTTATACAAAGAAAATAATAACAACTAACAAAAATTAGTTTTACCAATTTTAGGAAAAAGGAAAAGAAGCATCCAAAAAGTGAAATATTCTGTATATGTGCCTATACAATAAACTACATCGGTTAAACTACTTTATGGTTAAAAAAGAATGTCTAAAAAATGATATTTACAGAAAGAACATGTCTCCAAATCGATAATTATCGAAAGACCATGTCTCAAAAACGATATTTATCGAAAGAAATGTATCAAAATCGATATTTATCGAAAGAACATGTCTCTAATCTGATATTTATCGTAAGAACATGTCTCAAAACCAATGCCCCATCCCTCAAAATCTATATTTATCAATAATTTAAAAATATGACAAAATATCGATTTAAAAATAAGGAAGGATATTTCTTTTAAATTACAAGTTCCTGGATTTTATGGTTTTCAAGGTAGTCGAACTCAGACAGACGGACTGACGATTGCGTTTAGATCAATTCAGTTAGCCTGATCAGGAATATAAATACTATATTCCAACTGCTTTAATACTGGAATTTATATACTATATATTCCAGCTGCTTTAATACTGATATATATATACTATATTCCAACTGCCTGTCACATTGTTTTGCCTAAGATCTTTGTTCCCTTTCTAGTTCAATGCTACGACGAAGTATGATTCATTGTAGACTTGACTTTCTCGCAGTGTAAATATGTGTGTGTGTGTGTTGTCGCTTGTTGGTTTGTTTGTGTGTGTCTATCTGGTTGACCAGCCGGGCTATAAAGCGATCCAATTTGTGGCCTATTTCATGGCAGCCAGCTCGTGTGTGTGCGTCTGACTTATCTGCGCCGCGTATTTATAACAATGTCTAATGACATCACTTCAGCAACAATAACAATAGCTATATAGCTATATAGCTATAGCTACAGATATAGCTATAGCTGAATGGGCGCAATGCCAAAACTTACCTCATTATCAATGCCGCCTCGGGCTCTTATCAGCGGCGCGTTTCGGTTTCGGTTTCTGTTTCGGTTTCTGTTTTTGTTGCTGTCGCGCAGTGCTTGGAGCTCCTTCTGGTGCTGCTGCTGCTTCAGATGATGCTCGTGCTCGATCTTGTTCCACTGCTCGTTGGAGAAGGCCTCCTCCTCCTCCTCCTCGGCGTGGCTCTCCACTTGCGGCTTGGCCGTTGTGGTCTTCGGCTTGAAGAGCCAATCGAATATGTTGCGCTTGGCGGCGGCCTTCGTGTGGCTGGCGGCCACATTGGGATGCCTGTTGTTGGTTAGCGCCGGCTCCGACTGATCGTAGGCATCGTATTCCTGCTCCATGGAGCTAATCTGGGGCAGCTTTTGGCTGAAGAACGAGTAGCGCGGCATTTGCTTGGCCAGCTCGGCGGCAAAGCTGTCATCCGCCACGGGCTCATCATCCCTATAATCCTCTTCCTCATCCTCATCCTCATCATCCTCATCATCGTCGTCATCCTCGTCCTCGTCGAGCTCGCTGTCATCGTCAACCTGCTGCTGCCAGTTGGGCGCACGCGTCGATCTTGGCTGCGTCCAGGCCGGGTAGATGCCATCGCGATCAAAGTAGCGCGTCGAGACATTCCCATTGCCTGCCACATGAGGCAGTGGGGCATCCGTCACCAAGGAAGCAGCAGCTGGCGCAGCTGTGGAGCCGCTCGTCGCCAGGCCCAGGCGATGCTGGCGCTGATGCAGCTCGGGGAAGACGCGCTGCTCCCAGGCGGCATGATGGCGATTATGATGGCGCAAATGATGCTGCTCGCCCGGACCGTGCCCCATCATGGCCAGCTGCTCCAGCTCCAGCTGCATGGTCTTTGGCTGCCTGACTGAGGCCGGCGGCGGCGGTTGCCTGTTCTCGTTGCCCGCCAGCTCGGCGCGCAAATGCTGCTCGTGCCGCAAATGATGATGGTGCATGTCCAGCTGGTTGTCCGCCTGCGCCCTCTGCAACTGCTGCAGGCGCTGCTGCTGCTGCTGTTGATTGCGGCGAGAATGCGGAGGGGCGCTGGTGGTGCCATTGTGGGCGTGGCGATGCGCATGCTCCTCGGTGTAGCCGAGATCGGCGAGGAGCAGCAGCAGCAGCAGCATCAGCGGAAAGAAGCCCTTGCTGCCCATTGCCACGAGCTGATCTCTCAATCTATCTGCGGCTAATAGATGTATCTGTATCTGCAGCTTATTGATGTATCTGTAGATGTATCTGTATCTTTATCTTTATCTGTATCTGTAGCTGCTCTCTGGACCTTTCCTTCTGATCTCTTTTTTTTATTGTTCGTCGCCTGTTTTTTCGCTTTGTTGCCGCACGTTCTATAAAACTCGCACTCGCATTTGTTTAACGCATTTTCTTTTGTTAATTCACTTTTTTCTCAATGGCCATAAATCATTCGGTTGCACTGCGACACATCGAATTGCGTTTTACATTGCTGGAAAATTGTTTTTATTGCCGCAATTGAAATTCTTTTCGCTAATTAATTGCCTTTTTGTCAAATTATTTCACCAAGTTTTCTACACTTTTGCTTGATTTGAAAGTTCAATTTGTAGTTAAGTGTTTTGGGTTGAGAATTTTATTTTTTTTTAAAATAATGACTTTTTTATATTATTTGATATTTATTATTTTAAAATTTGTATATATTATATTTTGTATTTTTTGCTTTTATTATTATTATTATTATATATTATTTAAAACGAATTTTTATATATGCAAATATTTTTTTTCTATTTCGTTTATTAAATAATTATTCAAAATTTCTACAGAATTTTTCAAAAATATTTTTAAATTTTTTTTTGACTGTATTTCTTTTTCTAATATTTGGAACTCGAAACTTTACTCTTCAATATTTTGGTATTTTTCGATTTTTAGTTTTGTGTTTAATTTTGAATTAAAAAAACATTTTAAAATTTTTTGTTATCGTTTTTCAAGTTTTTTAAATATTCGACTTTAAGTTTTATATTTTTTGTATTATTAGTTTATTTAGATATTTGCAGCTGGATCATAAAACTTTACAGTCAAAATTCGTTTATTTTTATTTAAAAAACCGCGCGCGACTTTTACCGCACGTTAATATCGCACGCACACTCTCACAGAAACACGCACATATATGCCGTACGCATATATAGATATATGTGGTATTATTTTATTGCACTCGGTATTTGTTTTGTTTACCTCATAAAGTTGGAATTCCGAATAGACTTTGTCTAAGTAGATGCGTAGGGGCATGCGTTTAATCCGCACATGTGACGACACGAAGCGACTTACAGATAACAACTGAATCTGACGGCAGCAACAAAATCTGAACTGATGCGCCGCAATGTTGAGAGCACAACATGTATACACTGAAAGAAATAAAAGAGCGCAATTAAATGGGAGCAGCTTGTGAGTATGACAATAATTGTTAGTAATTGAGTTCAGGACCTTTAACTTAATCTAGGCATGTTTATTTTTTATTTATTATTAAATAATTGTAGTTATATTAACGTACTTTATGCAGAGAAATTGTTTTTGTGCCTTGTAACTGAGCGCGCAACATGTCGCGTCGCTTACACAAGCAACATGTTGCACGGGCGCAAGAGAGCGCAGCAGGCAGCGCATGCTGGTTGGCAACAAATATATGTTGGCTGCAACACGTTGGCCTAGGCCGCTTACATGTCGAACATGTTGCAATGCAGCTGCTGGACGAACATGTTGGCACTGACATTGCCGGCATTTGCCAGACAATTTGATCGCCTTCTGCTTGTTGTTGCAGCCAATTGACAATTGGCATTGGCAACATTTATATATGTATAGATACATTTATATACGAATACATATGTGATTGATGTCGAGGCACGGCTGCAACTGTGTGTGTGCCAGAAGTGGCAGCAACGCCCACGTGTTGCATGAGAGAACCAAAACAACATCTTCAGCAACATCTACGCCAACGTTTTGGCCAGAGCAGCGCTTCCTGCCCCGCACGGCTGTCAATGGATGCCTCCACTTGATCTCAGACGTGGGCAGCACAGATACACAGATACACTCCACAAAAACAAAGCCAAATTACATAATCCAGGCGGAGGCAATGTGCGGCTGCAATCATTTAAATGTTGCCCAAGAACATGCGCCTAACCACAGACAACATTGCGTATCTCTTCTCTTTGTATTGTTTTTTTTTTTTTTTTTGGGTATGGTGTGATTTCAATGGAACTCGAACTGGAACTGGCCAGCATCTGACTGATATCAACTGGAGCGACCACCGTCAACGGTAGCCGAACAAATTTTCCAACTAATTGCCATTAAGCTGCAGGCAATGAGTCAGAGTTTTTTTTGTGATCCCTTCCTATTGATACCCTAGGAAAAGGGTTAAGACGGCGTATGATAGTTCTGAGGAAAGGCAGAAGAAAAAGTATCTCTTGTATCTAACTCTTGAATATAAATATATAGATATAGATATATCTTACGCGGAACCAGCTCTTGGTTATAAATATATATAGAAAGAGATATATTAAACGCGAAACTAATTATTGGATTTCAAGATAACATTCAACATTTTCCTTATGCTCTCGTTATAGATATCTTGCCTCATTCCCCCAAGTTAAGAGCTTCAATTTCTATACAAAGAATTAAATGCCATCGATATGACTGGAATATAACCTTCAGACAATAAACTAAATTCCCTTTTCTGTAAAATGAATTAAAGATAATAAAAAAGGTCTTCCTTATGGCTACAGGGTATATCTCTAGTCAGCCTAGCTCACTGTGCACTTGATGTCTGCCCTTTTTTTTATGGGACCTACAGGAAGCGCGAATGCATCTTAGCAAGTCCATAAAAATCGAAGCGTAGTCGCGTAGAGTCCGTAAGTATGATCAATGATAAAAGGGTTGCCACAATAAAAAATCCGAAGACGCAGCGGAATTTTATGAGGCAACGCGCCCCCCAAAGGAATAAATTGATTTTCCTGCGAAGCGTGCAAATAGGATTTGTCAGGCGATCAAATATTTCCAGCTAAACGCCTGGGTAGACATTATAACGAGACATGATACACCCATGTCTATGGCTTGATCTGGCATATATATACATTTATATATATATGTATCTCCCTCTCCGTTCCATTGTTCTCAGTTCTTGGTTTTCCATTTGTTGCCTGTGGCAAGCGCTGTTTGCTGCTTGTAAGCTCAAAGGCAAACAAGTTGCCTCTCAGATAGCGGCAGATGAGTTTAGAGCCGGGCAGGGCCAAGGGGGGACAACGGCGCGGGGAATAGTTCGTTGCGGCTGTAAAGCTATGGGCCAGGGCCATAAAACGTATATTATGTGTTGAATTTAACGCTTAATTTGAGACGCTGCATGGCTTAAATGAGACAACAAATGGCCCAAATGACAGACAACAAGGCAATTCGGCATTCGGAATGATGAGCGCAAATAATAGAGTTAAATATTGTATCTCCAAAGAGCTCCAATTGAAGCAAAAGTTTAAAAGCATGGAAACTTGGAAATAATTGCACTCATGCTCAATTCTGGAATATATACAAACATTAATTTGCATAGTTTGTTTCCTTATTGCATTTTATCACCTCGATGCGCAGATCTGTTCACAGACAAAGGCTCTGCTGGCTGTTTCCTCAAGTTAAGCAGGTCACAAAACCGGCCCTAGAACCGGTTGAGAATTTTACGCAGACATTGCAAAAGACCAAAAAAAAACTCCTTAGCCACTGTTTTGCGCAAACGATGTCATGGAAATTAAATAATATGCGGATTCTTGAGTATAATGTTGAACAATTATAATAATAATAATATCTGAAGAAGTGTGGAAATATTTATATTCAATAATTGCCCAACTTCAAAGGTGTTTCAGGTAGTTCCAAAATGCCAGCATGTTTTAAAATGAAACGCATTATTAATTAAAGCAAGGAAGGTACTTCGAGAAGTAGGATTTATGGGATTTATTTCTTTCTACAGCAAACATATAAGTACCCAATCCAGCAAAGAAATCTAGATCAAGACCTAAAGATACATAGTTTCCCTTAAGAGGGTCTAACTTTTCACTAAGCTGACAAGGCTGTTAATTAAGATCAGAAAACTGTTTCGTACTGTGTAAACAGTGTTCAAAAGTCAACGGCCACAACAACCAGTGTTGTAAAGCAATATTCGTATAGGCTTTAAGTATTTTGTAAAAATTGAGGCTAAGCAAAGTAGAAAAGAACGCGAGGCCGACTCATGAAATAAAGGAAAACGAGGAAATAAAAATGAAGAAGATTACACTGTAAAAGAATTCCTTATCCATTTACAAAGTTATATACCAAAAGCTATCCCAATCTTTAGCTTAATAGCATAAGTATTCTCTATCTACTTTTTACAACTTGGATTGATTAACCTCTTCTGCTTATCTTCTCTATGGGAACTTGCAATTTTGGAAATGCAAAAACAGCAGCTGGAAGTGTCATCAAATATTCAAATTGGCCAAGTGACAGCCCTCCTGCCATATGCCAACTAATTGGCAACGTTCACAACTCTTCAACGACTCTCAGCCAAATAGTGCACCTTCAAATAGCCGCCCCTTCCGCCCCCGCTCCCAACTACGCAACGCTCGAGACTTTGCGGCAATTAAATAATCATAGCGCACTTTACTTTATGCTACACTTGGCAAAGCCAAAATTCCCATCAACCATGTGGCAACACTTGAGCGAGGCGTGGCAAGCGGCGGGTAGAGGGGGGCAACACCAGCCGACAGCAGCTAATGAAATCATTGCCTCTGCTCGATTGGGCGTTAAAAATAATCAACGTGCTAATTAAGTTGACTAAAACTTCTCAAACTGTTTGGCCAGCTAGCTTTGCGGCCGGGTGGCAACGCTGCCAGACAAGCGGCTTGGGCGGGAGAGAGTGAAAGGGGGAGAGAGGGAGAGGGGAGAGAGTGAGGCAGAGCGAGTTTTGTTATAAAAA